GCACCACTCCCGGCCTGAAAAAAATGCAAAACGGATCGGATCACTTCCAGACAGTCGCGCGATGTAGACAGATGTACAGATAGACAGATGGACCAGTTAACATGGACCAACAATCTCACCAGTGTTGCAGGATCACCACGGTTGCCTTTTTTGCAATACATGCGTTCCTGTCTTCCGTCTTTGAATTATTGCAAGTGTGAACTGAGCAAAACAAAATCCTTACTGTACGGGAGAAACCGTACTACCATTCAGCCCCGTAACATTCTTTCCATAGGGGAAACTTTGGTCGCTCTGCGGGACGGGATAAAATTATCCGATCGGAATAAAATTTTGCACACATCCTTGTGTCATAGTATCGACAAGATTTCCGACCCGGCCCGACGAATCCGACAAACTTTTCCAAAATGGACCACCCTAGTCTTCAGTATAGAACAAAAACAAAGGAATTAACCCTGCCATTCCTTTTGGAGAGGACTGCATATGACGGTCCCCTCCAAAATGATTGGAATGGCAGGGTTAATTCCACGTTTAAGGAGCTGATGTGTGAACATAAATGGTGGAGCAACACATTTAGAGTGTGGGGGAAGTACAGTATGTCTGTACAGTATTATAATTCCCCCAGGTGGCCAAGGCGTGCACACCAGAGGGAGTAACCCAATGTTTATTGATTTGAAGCAAAACGCTTCTATAATGTCATTACTGTATGTTTTTATGGGGTACAATATTACAGGACGATATTTTAAAACTTACTACAACCAGTTATGTTTTTAGGGGCATTACAATCATTTTTTAGGGGTGTGTGGAACATGTTAATGCAATTTTCATTTATTTTGATGATGAAAGATGATTTGAGCTATAGTCTTTAGAGGTTTGAGTGTGGTCACGGAACAAATGAAATGTATACCTAATGGCGCCACTGTATTGTGTTGCATTTTTGTCGGATGTTATGTAAACATATCCTATTCTTCACTTTTTTAAATTGCTTATCATTGGCGCTCACAACTGATTTGAGCAAGTGGCAGCATGTGATTAAATACAGCACAGAACGAATCATGATTTGTGTGCTTTTAAAGAAACAAGTTGCTGTTTCATCTTCTTTGTCTCTGCTGTTGTGTGTGTGTGTGAGTGTGTGTGTTTGGCCCGACATTGTGATTATGTCTGCAAAAACAGATGCCAGTTCCTGTGCTGCATTTCTGAAGACTTCCAAGTCGCAGCGCATCGGGGCAAGACGAGCTTCTTGAACAGGACTGCAATCCAAGGTAACGCCATTGTAGAGCTTTTTGTCTGTTTTTGGTAGAGTTTAGTCATCGGCATTTAAACTGCCGAATAGACTTGCTCGATGCACTTATCGGACACTTTATAAGCTACATGTCAACTAATAACATCCACAAAATCTGCTTTTACAAAAGCAACATTTGATGGACACTATCAGAGAGTCTCTTGGAACAATATATTTAATTATTTTGCAATTGTAATCGTGTAGGCAACTTTCCTACTGAGAGGACTGTTCCTGATATTTTGGTGACCTGATTTTTACAGGATGAAGCTGTTGCTTCAGTTGCTTCTGGGATGGACCACCTTGCTCCTTCAGGCACATCATCGAGTCTCCCCGAGCAGTGAGTTGCCGACACGCCACACTTCACTGATAGTTCACATCGTGCATATCATGTGAAATGATGTCATAACTCACAAGAGAGGTTAATCTGGATTGTGTTGCGTTTGCGTGCAGGGTTTTTCCCAACTCCAGTCAAGTCATGTGATGTGTTCATTCTTCCTCCTCTTCCTCCTCCTCTCTTTCCTCCACTCCAGCAAAGAGCAGAATTGACAGTAACAGGCACACAAAACGGTCACTTGATTAGGCACACACGCACGTTCGAAGTGGAATCCGAATGAATGTAACAGCTGAACTTTAGACTCCAACCACGGCAATTAATAAGTAATCAATCAACAATGAGCCTTATTGTCGCTGCGATTGTCGCATTGTTCCATATGATGTCCTTCATTGGAGTGTGCGTGTGTGCCGATTTTTTTTTTTGGACAGCGAGTGTATGTTTGTTGACAGCTGGTCAAATAATTCTGTTTGTTTGTTGAGGTTGATATAAGAGAACACATCACAGGGCCAAAAGGAGAGAAGGCAAGTCATTTTTGAATACTTTTTTTTTAATGTAAACATGAAATAGAACAGGCATAAAAATGTTAATAATCATTAACATATTTTGTTTGGACTTGCCCATTATGTGACGACTATCGTACTTCAAACAGTATTTCATACTATCTCATAAATTAGGATTGTAATCCATCAATCTATCTACATCTATCTATCCATCTCTCTCTCTCTCTCTCTCTCTCTCTCTCTCTCTCTCTCTCTCTCTCTATATATATATATATATATATATAAAACCCAGCCGCTGGGGGGCAGTGCCCTCCCCTGGGGGTGCACTGTTCCCCAGTGTTCCCCAGTGCCGGTCCCAAGCCCGGAGAAATGGGGAGGGTTGCGTCAGGAATGGCATCCAGCGTAAAACTTTTGCCCAGACGACCATGCGAGTTGGTAGAACGGTTTACAGGGGCCGATGGAAACTCTGACTCGCTGTGGCGACCCCTGAATAGGGATGTGCCGAAAGTAGAAGAAGAAGAAGAAGAAGATATATATATATGATATTATGTGTGGTATACATCCTAGTCACTGTTTTATACTCTATAGTCATGTGATTATATTGTATCATAATGTTCATTGTCTTCAAAAAATACTGTATTAGGAAAAATAATATCAGAGGATTACCGATTAGAGCATTGTTAACGTTTTGTCGTTACCACTGATTTACATGCACACACCTTCACATTCACCACTGTTGGTGTTTGTTTATTTATCTGTCACACTGCTTCACAATTAAAAGATTCTAATTATATTGTACAACACAGGGGTCCCCAACCTTTTTTGCCCCACGGACCGGTTTATGTCAGACAATATTTTCACGGACCGGCATTTAAGGTGTGGCGGATAAATACTACAAAATAATATGGTAAGAGCTGCATGAACACTGTGGTGTTTTCGAGAGATAATAATAAAAACGAGGAGGGTCTAATCTGGCCGCAACACTCTGATCGCTATGGTAATGTTTAATGCCTTCAAATTACGATACAACGCAAATTCAAAGTGCATGAAAATGTCAACTCACCACAATGCTGAATCAGTGCGACCAGGCGGTCCCATCTCGGGGTAATAGGAGAGACAATGACACCTGAAGTGTGTGCTTTATGTCGAGTCTACTTCGTAATTTTGTTTTAGTCGCCGTTGCTGCACAAAACCCCCGCCTCACACAGGTAGCATGTCGGAAATAGCAACAGTGTTATTGTGGCGATCTCAGAGTATTCAGCCATAACTTGAATCCAGAACACCGACAGAGTTGTTGTCTCGAACGTACTTTTAAGGCCGCCGTCATTTGCGATCTCCAGCAGTTTATTTTACTCATTTAGCAGGCTCCGGCGTTTTGTTTTTAGCGTAATCACTCACGTGACGGAGAAGCGTGGTTTGACGTGCGTCAAGAGTGACACAGACGGATGTAACGGAGAATCGGGTACTTTTTCAAAATAAAATATCTTTCGTATTCCAAAATAAATACAACGGAATTAATGTAAGTTCTTATTGTGTGGCCCGGTACCAAATGCCCCGCGGACCGGCGATTGGGGACCCCTGGTATAACACATCCATTTTTGGGGGGATTAGATTTGTTATATATAACATTCCTGTTTCATCATATACGTTTATTATCACATCTGAATTTATTATATCTGCTGAACATATACAATCATTATAATTCTACTCTATTCATTATTTTTTATAACATTATGTCATGTCATAATAATAATTGACCATTTGTTTTTATGTTACAAAAATTAAATTATTGATTGCATTCATATGCAGTCATTATGATTGGTCCGTCAGTGTAATTTTCTGTGGCTTGTGCTCCTTTTTAAAGGGCTGTCGAGGAGCCAGGGGACCAAAGGTAGATGCGCACGCGCAAACACACACACACACACACACACCAACACACACACAAACACACACACTTGAAACATCAGAAACAAGTATGCAATGTGCGTTGCAGGGACAAGCGGGTGTGATGGGTGTGGAGGGAGGAGCAGGAAAAAAAGGGCCCATGGGATCGAGTGGGCACCAGGTCTCTCCTCCAACGTGATCCGCAAACCAGCCCCCTACGCAATGTACTGTAGGTTGCGTTCACAAGCTGGGTTGGTTTGTTGCAGGGAGAGAAGGGCTACAGAGGCTGGAGGGGCCTCAAGGGAGAAATAGGACCACCGTGCATGGTGAAGGTATGTTGTAAACATGAAAGTTTATTCGTACTCAAGGAGGCCGAGGGAAAATTGACATTTTAACTGTATACTAGCGGTGGCGCTACAAAATATTTTTGAATTGAGAATTGGTTGGTTAAGAAAAATGGTAAGCCTGTACATGGGGCGTCACGATGGGCGACTGGTTGGAATGTCGGCCTCACAGTGCGGAGGTGCAGGGTTCGATTCCAGCTCCGGCCTTCCTGTGTGGAATTTGCAGGTTCTCCCCGGGCCTGCGTGGGTTTTCTCCGGGTACTCCGGTTTTCCTCCCACATTCCAAAAACACGTGGCAGGTTAATGGATCACTCTAAATTGTCCCACGGTGTGAGTGTGAGTGCAGATGGTTGTTCGTCAATGTGTGACCTGTGATTAGCTGGCAACCAGTTCAGGGTGTCCCCCGCCTACTGCCTGATGACGGCTGGTTCCAGCATGCCCGCGACCCTCGTAAGGATAAGCAGATTAGAAGATGGATGGTAGACTGTACATGCGAAACAAGTGGCAATTTTTGTTCTTTCAATGGTTTGAAATTTGGGAAAATCGTGATCTTATGATGCAGTTACATTTTCATATTTTTTCACTGTAAAAGCAATGTTGCTACAGTACAGGAAGCATCTCCAAAGTTTGTGTTTATTGGTTTTATTATTCAATCATTCATTCATTTTCCGATCCGCTTTATCCAAACAAAGGTCGCGGGGGTGCTGGAGCCTATCCCAGCTGTCTTTGGGCAGTAGGCGGGGGACACCCTGAACTAGTTACCAGCCAATCGCAGGGCACACAGAGACGAACCACCATTCACGCTCACACTCACACTTAGGAACAATTTATCGTGTTCAATCAGCATGCCATGCATGTTTTTTGGAATGTGGGAGGAAACCGGAGTACCCGGAGAAAACCCACACAGGCCCAGGGAGAATAAGCAAACTTCACACAGGGAGTCCGGAGATGGGATTGAACCCCGTACCGCTACACTGTGAGGTTGACGCGCTAACCACCGGACCACCCGGTTTTATTAGATTTTTTTTTTTTTTTTTTTTAACAGGGAAATAAAGGACGACCCGGATTGCGGGTAAGTGCCCAGCTAAATGTGTCCTATTGAGCAGAAACTCAAATTATTATTGACATTCATTTACATCATGTTAGGGGGATAAAGGCTTGAAAGGAGATACAGGACCCAGAGGAGATCCTGTGAGTAACATAATTCCGGCGTTTTGATTCCTGACTTTTTAGCCTTTTCTACTCCGCGGTACACACGCGGCTCAACTTTAGTAGTTTCCATGTTCAAAACCATTTCTGGTACTTGGTCATCTGAGTAGATAACATCCGCCTCCCTCATGTTTCATAGGAGGGATGGTGGACTTCTTCTTGGTAATCTTCATTTTTGCCTCTGGTGTGCCTTGCCAAAAAGTTACAGTTTGTCTCATCTGTCCATAGACAAGCCACAAAGCCGATGGGAGAATGTCCCATGGACATGGATGAGATTACGTTTGTATGACGAATGAAAATGTGTGTCCCGTATACACAGGGTGAGCCAGGCATCGCAGGGATGTGCGGCGAGAAGGTAGTACCACGGATCCCTTTCCAAACCCCAGTGGACCTTTAGGACCAGAACGTGATTTGTGATGACTTTGACTTTTGCTAGCGCTATGTTTGAAGTAGACATTTCATGTTGTGAATTGATATTTTGAGCAAGAACAAGTGACACAGGTAACTACTCTTATCGGTGTAAATTAAAAACAACAAAATATGTCCAACTTCACCCTAGTGGGGACCGATTTCCCATGTTGTTGATCGTGGCAGGATGTGCGATAGCTAACAAAGGGTCCATTCATGCCTGCTTGCAGGTTTAATTTAGTTGCGGTTCTAAGTTGTTCCACGGGAACGTATATTGTTCTCGGTCTTGAGGGTCCACTACAATTCATCTTTGTTGTTGTACCGAAAGTTAAAACGTGGTCATCTCAGGGTGACGCTGGCCTGTGGGGGGAGCCCGGTCCGAAAGGAGTGCAGGGCTCCAGAGGAGAGCCTGGTGGCAGAGGAAGCACGGTAGGATTTGAAACTGAAAACCTCAGACAAAACTTACGACATTGTCTATAAACCTTTGAAATGTGGTTTTGGTCTTGATTCATGAAGGGTTTGAAGGGATCAACTGGGCTGACTGGAAAGATGGGTCACCCTGGTTTGGTGGGACTTCCTGGTTTGATTGGAGAGCCAGGACTTCCTGGACAAGGTGTGCCACAACCACTCACTCTTGTTTTGCTCTGGAGGAGACCTGATGAGCTTTGCTTGCCTTGCAGTGTACTTCCTAGCAGGTCAGCGGGGGGAACCAGGAAGTCAAGGTCCTTCGGTCGCATGCAGCTGTCCAAGGCATCAAATCCCCGAACGATTGCCAGATAGAGTCCAGAGGGTCTGTTGAGTCCTAAGCTGACTACGCACGTACACGTTTTTAACATTTTAACCATTTTTTTTTAAATGCGAGACACTCTGTAATGAGAACAATTTACTGGGGTGCACAGACAATGTTGACGATGGTGGCCAAGCACTACTTTTGTCTAAATGAAACCCTTGAACGTTACATCTGTACTATAGAAGGGAGTTCCTTGACAGAGAGATGCCATTTGATTGCTTTGGCCTGACAACCTATAAAGTGAATAGGTAAGGATTGTTTAAAAAAAACAAAAAAACAAAACAAATAGGTGAATTGTAAACCTACCTAAATGCCTAAAATACCCAAATAGCTTCCTGTTCCCTTAATTGGTTATGATGATGGAAATTATTTTTTTCAAAAAAATTTTGAACAGGTTTAACAATTGCAGTTGTTGGATGTTTTGTGAGTAGATCAGCAAGGAAAAAAAAAATCACACTTTATGAGTATCCAGAAAAGCTGGATAAATTATATTAACTGAGAATCCAACCTTTGCTGACTTTTATCGCAAAGGGAGGCAAAATGCTGACATTTTAGGCCAGATAGCCGATATCTGTGTAGCCTACTTCAGAAAGATCTTGTAGGTTTTTTTCTGATCCACCTTGCAACGTCTGCAGATTTTTATAGCAGATGGAGAAACAATGATGAGGAGGCTGCAAGGGGAGAATGTCATGGTTCTCCGGACCGACAAACGTGCTCTCTACATATACATCGATGCCCAGTGGATCGATGTTCTGGTAATTGCGTTTTATGACCTCATGGCAGGCATCGCCTTGTCATCGCTGTCCAGTCAAAAGCATTTAGTTCCTATTTTGGGGTTTTCTTTTTGTTAAGACATTCGGAAATCCATTCTGTTCATTGGACAACAATGTGTTAATGAAATGGCGGACGGCATCGAATTTGCTCTGTAGTATTTGTCATCAACAATAGACACCGTAGAGCCAATTGCAATCGATGACATCATCTTCAATGTGTTTTTTCTTTCTGTACTGCTACCTTTGAAGGACCAAGAACTCCAAAAGTGAAACCATCCCCGCTTGAGTCCGCTCTCTCTTCCTCAATGCACATCGACCTGAGATTCTCAACATGTTCATTTCAAGACGCATGACCTTTATTCCAGCATTTTACCATACTTGAATAAACCACCAGTTTAATTAAAAAAAACTTTTGAATGCAAATACATAGAGCTGTAAATTGTGACTGTGCATCAAGCATGACAATGACCGCAGTTCATATGAACCTTGTCATAAATAAATCTTGTTTGTTCAGTAAACTTCAGCCATGAACATACACGATGTAAATTGTGTAAAATGTAAGTTACTCTACTTAATAGGCCATTATTTTGGGATTTGTAAATGGAGCCGTTTTAGATTCACTTTTATTATTGCTGGCATCGGGCTGAACCCTTGTGTCAAAATTGTGTAAAATTCATTACATTTCACAAATCCGTACCACTGGTCACTCCATGTCAACCCACACACGTTTTTTTGTACAATACCATTTTTGGACCAACATGAAGTGTTCAAAGTGGCTTGTTGTCCTTTAACAAACACCCCATGTTTGAGGTCTCTTGACCGATTTTGGAGGTTTAAGTTTTCAGCATGACGCCAGCGATTTGAGACATGAAGTGGCTGTAGGCATTTTCATCAGCTGAAGAATACCAGGTGTCGATTTGGGGAAGGCCTTTTTTGGGTGCAATATACTATTCAAAAACTGTATATGCTCGTCACCATATATTATATCCCCCCCACCCCAAAAGAAAGCTCTCTAACTTTTTTTTCATGTATAAATTTTTAAAATGGAAAATTACAAAAATCGCAAAATGTATAATTGAGCAATAAAAAAAAAATTAATTAGATAATCATTTTTTGACATCGGTGATGTATAATAGCATTGTTAGCTTCGGCCTTTATTAGTACATATGCAATTTTAAAACACAGTACTACCTTATGAAAGACCCTATCAACGCTGCCTAACAAAAAAAATATCTTCCGAGTGTTGTGACTTTTTCCAATTTAGAGATGCATGCTTTTTTGGACAGCAACAATATGCACTTTAGTGTATATTTTGGGGTGCAGTGCAAATTTGTTCAAATGGACAATGTCTTTTACAGTGGCAGAGAGTATTTCAAGAAATATGGTATGTGTTGTCCCTGCCCAATGAAAAGCATGATCTTTAAATTGTTGATTTGCTCAATGGTCGATGTCGCTGGCTAATAATTGTAGCAGGTGTCTAAAAAAGTAGAGACCATTCAAGAATAGTGTATTTTATTGCCAGATTGGTTAGTAACGTCACGGACTGGTTTTCTCAGAACCGAGTGTCGGTGTATCGAGGTTTATGTTGAGCAGTCCAAATCTGACATGAGCAGAGTCGCATGGTTTTTGTTGGCTTCATTAGAAGGCCACACGCTGCAATGTGACATACTGCATAGCTCCCTAATCTATAATAGTCAAGCAAGCATTTGGTCATATATCGTCAACTTCCTAAAATAATGGCCCTAGTTTGTCTTTTTTTTTTTCTTTCTTCAAAAAAAAAACACCAAAAAATGAACCAAATACTGACTACATTTTTAAAAATTGTATTTCAGTTCTAAAGTCTTTTGAAAACAAGGATGCAACTGATTTTAGCAGAGGTGGCCAGCACCGTGAGATGTTTAAGGCAAAAAATTAAAATTAAAATTAAATATGACTTGGGCCATTATTTTAAGTGGGTGACAATAGTGTAATGAAATGATGAAATTACAAGTTATCATTTGAACAGTTTAAGCAAGATGAATAACACTTTTGACATCAAAATCAAACTTTTTGACACCTCCTTTAAAACTTCAAATAATATTGTGGCGATAACATCTTTCTTCCAGCATTAAATAATCTTATATAAAACACACACAAAAGGTTTGAACTGAAAAGGCCCTCACGCTCCTCCCCCGTCCACGACATACATTAACTATAAACACAACTCGTTTCACCGCCCGACATCCTTCATCATTGCTGCAGTTCCATTTGGGTACCAGCTTTCATCTTTCTTTAACAATCAAAACCTCTCTAATAGTACGAGTTTTACTATTTTTAATGCAAAGATGAACAGATAGTGAAAAGTTTTTTTTTTGTTTTAGGAGTTTGCCGGTATACACAAACATATGCAGTACAGACAAAATACTGTAATTGTGTATATACTGTATGTTTCTTGACTGAATAGCTTTAACATATACTGGTAATGAGACGAACAATAATTTGAATGATAATGCGTATTGGGTCAGTCAATATCGAGCAAAAGCAAATCTGCTTCCTGTTTGTGTTCATTGGGATCCAGTCAGAAGTGACCCGGCTTCTTCCTTCCACATGTGTGATTTGATTGGACCAATGAAATCACTACTCTGGCTGGATTTTGGTCTGACCGCATCTTGAAAATTAGGGAAAGTTGCACAACTCAAGATGGAAGATGATTCCACCGTTGGGGGACGATTAATAGTTCCAAAGTCTTTCTTTGTCCTCTACCACTCGCCGGTTAGTTTGGTACTTTGGTCCCGTTTTGGCGGTGCGGGAGGTGGTCCTCGCCGCAGCGTTGCATAGCCTGAGATGTTGGCGTTGTGTTTGGCGGACTGGGAGTGCGCGTGGTGGCGGGACAGCGTTTGCGTGTGCCCGCGGGCCGCCTGTTGCTGCTGCAGGAGCTCGGGCGGCGGGGGCGGGAGGAGGGCCATGTCGTCCATGGTGGCTACGGGCTCCATCTTGGAGGAGGGGATGAGATGGGAGGAGCTGAGCGAGCCGTGGCGGGAAACGGACTTCCTCTTCAGAGTGCGGTTAAGGTCCTCCAGGAAGTGAGTCTTAAGCGTCAGGGAGCTCGGTGCTGCGGATTTGGGTGAGGTGGGGGGCACGGGGGAGGAAGAGGAGTAGGAGGTGAGGGTGGGCGGTGGGGTCTGAGAAAGGGGTGGCGGCGAGAGAGGCAGTGAGGTCGTCGTGTCATACGGGCTCGTGTTGCTGGACCGCCGGTTTAGCGTCGGTGGTGCCACCGCTCCCTTTTTCAGGGAGCCTTGCTTCCACGAAGACGAGAGCGGCGCCGGCGGCTGCTGCTGCTTCTGAGGCTGGGGGTTGACCACTGCCACCTTCAGCGGGTTATGGAACTCTGACGGGTGGGGTGGAGGAGGAAAGAGCTCAGAGTCACTTGGCGGGGGCGGGAAGTAGTCTGGGTATGACTCTAGGTGTTGCGGTTGGGAAATTGGTGGCGGAGGTGGCGGCGAGGGGAAGTCTGAAGACGACTGGTGGTGCTGGCTTGATTGGAGCCCCTGGAGGGCCAGCGGGAGGTTGGCCAAATTCAGCTTACCTGGCTTGGGAAGTGGCGTCGGAAGTGCAGAGGACTCCTTGGAGGGCGAGCCGGTCGCCGACGAGGAACTAGAAGACGTACCGGCTTGTCCGAATTTGCTGAGCAGGCTCTCGACTTTCTTGGGCCTGTCGTCAGGCGCCTCGCCCGAGTTGGAGCGCACGGAGGAGGCCCTCTGTGGGGTCGGTGGAGGCCCCCGCTTGGTGGAGCCAGTGGATGAAGTAGAAGGTGACTTTTTTATGGGGGAACCTGTCTTTGAGGAAGGCGGAGGGGGGAAGTCGTTGAAGGATCCGTCAGGAGGAGGTGGGGGGAACTCGGGCGACTGGGGAGCGACAGTGCCACCCGGCTGCCATTTTGGTTTTGCCTTGACTGCTGGAGGAGAGTGAGGGGCACCTAACTTTGATCCTTCCAGGGAGTTTGAGGAGGGAGGAGGGGAGGAGGCATTGTTTCCCGGGAATTGATTAACAATCTGCTTGACCAGCGACGAGGTAGCCATGGAGACAGAAGAGGAGGAGGACGAAGGGGAGAGGACGAGGTTTTTGGAGGAGAGGCTGTGCTGCTTGGGGAGCGTGGGCGGTGGCTGATTAGGGGAGTGGCCTGTCGAGAAACTCTGCTGCTTCTTTACAGGCCCGTGGCTGCTGGCAGGCGGTGTGGGTGACACCGGGGATAGCGCAAGCGGGAGGGAGGAGGGACCTGCGGGTTTTCGTGCAGTTTGGGGAGGAAACCCAACCGTGAAGGTTTTGGGTGGTGCCGGAGGCGGGGCGTTGGGGGACAAGGGCCGCAGGGCCGCAGGGGTCGAGAGCTCAGACGCAGGTGGAGGCGGAGGGGCAGAAGATTCTTCAGCCATAGCTGGGGTGAAGTCATACACCATGTTGGGGAACTTCTGCGCCAGGAACTGCTGGAGGCCAGCGTTGGACAGTTGAGCATGGTGATCCAGTGTGGGGTCGAGGGGCGGAGGCAGCTCGTTGCTTTCCAGGATCTCCGGTGGCGGAGGTGGTAGGTACGAGGGTTCGTGCAACTCATCCTCTGATGGGGAATGAGTCAGAGCCGAGGGACCGGGGAGGCTGAATTTCACCGCGGAGCCAGGAACCGGAGCTGCAGGTGGAAGAGGGGGCGGTGGGGACGGAGGCGACGGAGAAGTGGCACCGTAAGCGGCCGGGAGAGTGTTGTAGTTGGGCGGCGGGGCGTTTGCGGCCGGCTGCGCTCTACACTGGTTCTGGTTCTGCAGGCGAGCCAACGTGCTGTACTTGACATAGGCGGGCACTGGAGGCGCCCGGCGGGGCTGGGAGGAGACGGTGGGGATTTGCAAAGGGATGGGCCTACTGATGGCATCCATCTTCATCATCTGGATCGAACCAAAACGACACATGGGAAGGTGGGAAAGAAAATAGGGGAAAGAGAAGAGTGACAAACAACTGTTATTGTAATTTGTAGCAAGCAAATGCATAAAGTCAAACAACAAGCCATGGGAAAATGCACCATCTGCAGGCAGAACAGGAAACCACAACCACTGCATTCCAGTAAGTTGGTGCATCAAAAGAGCAGACTATGCCTTTCAGACATTTTTCTATCAGGCATTTCCGAGTGCATGCTTACAGAGCTGATGTGGGGTGCTTCATTTAAATATTTAGATGATCGATTGAAATGCCGCCAGAACAACGTCCAGCAACCTCTGTGCCCATTTTTATACGTTTAAACTTTCGTAAATCAGGCACTTAAGTGTCCAGGCACTCCAGATACCGTCACTGCTAACTTAGGGGCAATTTCTAAGTTCTTGTGTTAGCACGTGTCATCACACCACAAATTTCAAGCAGTGTTTAGTTTATAGCTTTTTCACTGGACTGGAGAGTTATGAGTCGCGTATTGATATGTTTGATATCATGCGGACTGCAAAAAATAAATAATCATTCAACTGTACACAATCAAACTACTTCCTGTCTAACCTCTGCTGCCTCTACCACCAGCACACAGTGGCACTGCCACAAGCCCTTTCACCTTTGACCGCTGGCAGGAAAGCAGAGGGGAAACGTGGGAATTGTGGTCTGACAATGAACAAGGAAAGGAGTCGGAAGAGCATGTGTGTGTCTGTGTGTATGTGTGTGTGTGTGTGTGTGTGTGTGTGTGCGTGCGCGCAAACGCGCGTGTGTTTTGGATGTAGTCGCACCTCTCCTTGCGTTCCCCTCCTCCACGCATCCGAGAAGATGGAGCTGACAACACTCTGGGAGCGGGCGTGGCCTGATGATGTCGTCTCTGACACTCCACTGTCCGAGTGGCTGGAGTTGTTAGACTGAGACTCTGGAGTATCAACAGAATCAAGGTTATTGCTGACTAAAATACATTTAATTCATTTTTTTGGGTCATTTTTGGGTTTCTTGTATTTATTTTGAGCCCTTTTGAGGATTCTGTATTGATTTTAAGATTCTTCATTTTTTGGCACCATGAAATTTTGACATGTTCAATATTTCCTTGGGACAAGAAAAACACTCCCAAGTTTTACATCACTCAGGGAGATAAAACTTTTATTGTCATTTGTGTCTTCATTGGAGAAACTTTACATTTTATCACATATTGTGGATTATTTTCTTTTAATTTTGACACATTTAGAATTCTTCATTTAAGTGTATCATTTTAGAAACTCTTGCTTTAGAAACAGTTGAGGACCCATTTGATTTATTGTAATTTTAGACATTTTTCTTTGATTGTAGTGTAGTACTGTATCTGTACTGTTCTGTAGTATTTTGTGTCATCTTAGGTATTTGTGATTTTATTTGGTGTCATTTTGGGATTCATCATTTACCTTGGTGTCATCCATGCCGCAACGTATTATTTGAGACATTTCAGCAATTATTGATTTAATTTTGTGTCATTATTTTTAAATTTCAAATTTGACTTTCCGTTATATTACAAATTCTTCATTTCATTTCGTGTCATTTTTAGTAATTTTCTAAGATTTATTTATTTTTTGTCTATTCTTGCTGTTGGGTCATTAAGATAAAGACTACCAGTTTTCTCCTCTTATAGAATCTGCCTCTATTTCAGGATATACTCTGATTTTGAAATCGAAAAGGATTTTATTTCCCCTGATCACGTCTGCAGAATGTCGAATCGAAACATATTTGCCTTCATATTATTTCACCTCATTCTGAGCTTAGCCATTTGGGCTGTGGCCCTAAATTGACATTGGTGCTCAACCTGTGAAGGCAAAAGTCACCTGGAAGACTGGAGGAGGAAGACCCCGACTTGATGGAGGAGGAGGACAGCGACGACCAGTCGTAGGCGGCCTCTGTCCTCCTCATGGCCTCCTGAAAATTGATGTACAGCTGCTTGCCATACTGGAAGAACAAGACCAAATATCAAGACTCGATGCCATTGTTGTTTATGCTTGTGCCATTCAAAGGCCAAGCCAGTCAGGGACGTTTGACATCATGTGACAAAAGTTTTTCATGTTGTTACCTTGGCGATGCGAATACTGTTGACCCATTGCTGGAGTGTTCTGACATCATCGCAGCAGAGATACTTAATGTACTGAGACTTCTTCTGGATTTGAGGGTGCTGCGTAAACACATTTATAAATCTCTATAAGAGGTATGATCACTGCGCACGACATGCTGCCACTTCCAAAAATGCAAAAAAAAAAAAAAAAAAAACCCCAAAACACTTCAATATTGAAGCAAGGTTATTCTGCGGGGTGAAGGATTATAAACCTCCCGAAAAAAACGTTCTCACAATTTGAAACATTTAAGACCTCTCAACCACTAAATGTGACGACTGTGAGTGGGAAACTAAGGGCTCGATATGATAAACTTCGTACTTTTTCAGAAATGTTTTTCATTCTCAAGATCAGATCAAAACTTGGACTGTTTTGATGTGAAAAAGAGGTTTTTACCTCATTTTCACATGGCAATAATTTCAATTTAAAGAAAAAAAAAAGACTTTGTATGAATTTAGATTTTAACTTTTTGTAATTACATAATGTGCATATTTTTTCCACAACCCCCCCCCCCCCCCAAAAAAAATTATAAATCCATGCTGGTCTATTGGGCTTTCACCTAATGTGGTAATTTACAAAAGGCCACTAGGGGGTGCTGTAGACCATACTGTCATCAAGTACGATGGATGATGCTACCTTGAGCACCATGCAGAAGTCGGTTGGAGCCTTGTACTTGCTCTTGTAATCTTGGCCGTGGTAGACGTTCACATGGTCCAACTGGAGAAAACACACCAGGTCTCTGGACGCCTGCTCAAACAAACACAAGTGCATCATAGTCATCTTTAATTTTAACGCATTTCATTATTTCACATTCACACACGCACACACACACACCTTTGCTTTGCCTTTGGGGACGTAGTAGATTCCAGAAGCTCTCAGTAGGAAGTAGCGTTTCTTCCAGGACTTTTTTCCATCTTCTTTCAACCACAGCACGCCCTCCATCTCCGGGACTGACACTGAGCTGCCACCAAAACACTCCTGACACGGACACAAAACAGGAAATGGTCAGCAAGCAAGAGATCACCATAGCTGTCGATGCTTTTTCACACCAGTCTTTGTCAGACACTTTGTTTGTTAATGATTTTCATACTCAAGATGCGTTTAGGGACGCAGCTGCATGCAATGTCAACTAACCTCTAACAGGGCCTCTTTGTTCCGCTCAGCCATCTCGCACGTCTCCTTCCGCCCCAACAAATAATTCTGCATCACAAAAAAGTAAATAAAAATCTGAAAGACGAGGACATTTCCATGACAGTTGCAGCTATTAAGACATGTACAGTACATGCTTGATTGTATTTGCCTTTTTTGATGGGGGCGGTGGTGGGAAGTCAATCGGGTGAATTACCTGTGGGTTCTTAAACAGTGCATACTTCTCAATGCGTTCAGTGAACATGAGACGGTTCTGGCTGTCTCTGGTCCAGTTTAGTAGGTTCTCCACCAGGTTCTCGTGATCCTCAAAGATGCGTTCTGCAACATGCAAAAACGATGTTTAAACTCGCCGTTAACGTTGATCTGATTGGCTCTGTCATCAGTTGACATCCATGATCTCAAAAAAATAATAATTTGAAATGTGGACTCATCAGACCACAGCAGACTTTTCTACTTTGCATTAGTCCATCACAGATGAACTCAGGCCTTGAGATGTCTTTTGCTTGAGATAGTACGTGGATTGTATTAACTGGCATTTGTAGATGTAGTGACAAACTGTGTTAAGTGTCAATGGTTTTCTGAAGTGTTCCTTAGCCCATGTGACAATGTACTTTACACCACAAACATTTAATGATGGTTTCCGGGCTTGCCACTTGCATGAAGAATCTGTCCCCCCCAAAAATGTGTTCTTGTAAGAGTACAACTTTTGTCTCGAAAAGTATGACTCATATGAATCATTACCTTTCTAAAATATGCTATTTTTACTTGTAAAAATTAGACTTTACTCTCATATTACCAGTACTACATTATTTCCATATTTTTTTTCTGTTTTTTTTCAGTGCGGCTTTTATGCTATTTTGTAAAAGTGTGACAATTATTATGACCAGCAATCTATTTCTCTCTATATGTAAGCAATTTCATAATTAAATTTCTTGCTTAAAGAATATATTGCAGATGCATATTATACACTACGAGTTGCTTTTCAAGAAACGTAACAATTTTTTGAGGGGATATTGCACTTTTTCAAAATTGACTTTTACTTTGTTTTGAATAACAGGAAACCTTTTTCTACATTCAAAAAGCATCAATGAGATTTGTTATTAAGAAATCCCTCGGAGCATCATTATGATAATATCTTACAATGTCATTACTGTAAAGCATTAAAAGCTCTTTTCAATCAGAAGGGAGAAAAAAAAACATAGCCACAACTTAATAAAAAGCTTAGCTCATTATTGGTTGTCCCACTTATGTCATATGATGTGTTTGAATATTGTGCAAAGTGATGCAGTTTTCCTGTTTTGACAAAAAAAAAAAAAACAACAAATTTCTGCCTTAGGAAATATAGTATCAAAATAACATGGGTTCACTTCCTGAAGGGGAAAAGCAGGGAGAGGTCAGGGGTTACGATGTGATAGGAAGTGAGTGCCTCTATCGCCAAAGGACACAGCGTAGGACTGTGTCTGTGTGTATAGTAAACGTGTTTGTGTGTAGAGTGTGTTTATGCTGTGTAAAAGGGGATCCGACTCTTTGTCAGTAACTAATTTCATTTCAGAGTTGTTCTGAATAGGCGTCATGTTCAAGACAGTTTTCAGGGGTTTGTATCGACTATTAAGGCGTGTTTTTACCTTCTCTGAGCTTCTTTTTTATACAACGTTGAATGGCTGGTAGCGCCCTCAAGATGTGGGTTACATCACACGCATCACCACACAGGACCTACATAAAGACTGCATACGTGTGTGTGTGTGTGTGTGTGTGTGTGTGTGTGTGTGTGTGTGTGTGTGTGTGTATAGAAGACTGTTAAGCGGAGTTGAAGCCAATTGTAGAGTCTAAATGTGTGGCCGGAAAACACATCTCTCCTATCTATTCCCTCGAGGGGAGTGTGTACTCATCTTTGTTGCTGAATATCTGAGTGCATGCAGTCTTTTTACTACTCGCTGATGCTGCGTTCAAGCGTACTGGGACAACTTGCTACGGTACCAGTGACAACCCTCACTTGGTACTTAAGATAAAAATGCAAGTCTAATGCAACATCAATGTATCCCATCAGACATCCTTTAATTGTTTATGATACTGTACCAGTGGAATGACATTAAATCTGTGAGACAAAAATGTCAGCAAAATTGAGGCGTGACAATTGTGCCCAATGTCGACATCTAATGGATGATTAAGAACACACAAAAATTGAACATGTTCTAAATCAGGGGTGTCAAACTCATTTATGGCGCGGGCCACATTTTAGTTACCGTTTCACTTGGAGGGCCGTTATGACTGAAACCATATAAAGAAGCCAAGAATAACCGTTGATTCAATTATTGTTTAAGGTACTATCATGAGGGGGTTGGTAACAAGAAAATGCTTAGAATATATCTGTTATTTATTGCATGTGAGAATTTAAAATTTTGGTGGACATTTTAGAAAGAATCACGAAAGTTGACACGGTTGAACTGCTTTTGCGGGCCACATAAAATGATGTGGTGGGCCAGATCTGGCCCCCGGGCCTTGATTTTGACACTTGTGTTCTAATTGAACCCAACATGTTAATGGATAGATTTTGGTATAACTTATTTAGCTGTGAATGAAGAAGACAAAAATCAGGAGGTGGTGATTTGGGTGCGTTTTCTTACCCATTTGCAGTTCATTAATGGTTTCTACCAGCGACCAGTCTGGACTGTAGCCACAATGGGACTTCTCCAGTAAACTGTCGAGAACCTGAGGCACACGACATTCTCCACTTATTCTGATGACATGACCAATAATAAAATTCCAATATAAAAATAAATATATAAACTAAATTAATACATATATAACTATCATAGAACAGAACAAAATGCAAACCTAATTCCAATAAGGTTGGGACAGAAAACAGTGATTTGCAAATCATGTTCAACCTATATTAAATTGAGTACTGTGCACTACAAGGACAAGATATTTAATGTTCAAACTGATAAAACTTTATAGTTTTTAGCAAATAATCTTTAACTTAGAATTTTATGGCTGCAACAAATTCCCAAAAAGCTGGCACAGTTTCATGTTTCCCACTGTTGCATCACCTTTTCTTTTCAGGGCATTCAATAAAATGTTTGGGAACTGAGGACACTAATTGTTGAAACTTTGTAGGCGGAATTCTTTCCCATTCTTTCCACAGTCTGCGGTCTACATGGTCATATTTTATGCTTCATGTTGCACCACACATTTTCAATGGGAGACAGGTCTGGACTGCAGGCAGGCCTGTCTTGTTCCCGCACTCTTTGATATGACGCCACGCTGTTGTAACATGGGCAGAATGTGGTCTGACAATGTCTAGCTGAAATAAGTAAGGTCATCCATGAAAAAGACTTTGCTTGGATGACAGCATATGTTTCTCCAAAACCTGTATGTACCTTTCAGCATCAATGGTGCCTTCAGGATGTGAAAGTTACCCATGCCAATGGCACTAACACAGCCCCATATCACCACTGATGCTATTTTTTTTAACTTTGGGTACAGAATAGTCCGGATGGTTCGTTTCCTCTTTGGCCCAAAGGAATCAACCTCCACAATTTCCAAAAAGAGTTTGAAATGTGGACTCGTCAGACCACAGAACACTTTTCCACTTTGCATCAGTCCATGTTAGATGAGCTCGGCCCTAGAGAAGTTGGCGGCGTTTCTTGGTGTTGTTGATAATTGGCTTTTGCTTCACATAGTAGAGTTTTAAGTTGCACTTGCGGCTGTAGCGCCAAACTGTATTTACTGACATTGGTTTTCGGAAGTGTTCCTGAGCCCATGTTGAGATATCCTTTAAACATTGATGACGGTTTTTGATGCAGTGCCACCCGAGGGCTCGAAGGTCACGGCATGCAATGATGGTTTTCGGCCTTGCCGTTTACATGCGGCAATTTCTCCACATTATCTGAACCTTTTCAGGATATTATGGACCATAGATAATGAAATCCTTAAATTCCTTGCAATTGTACATTGAGGAAACTATTGACTATTTTCTCATGCAGTTGTTCACAAAGAGGTGACTCTCACCCCATCTTTGCTTGTGAATGACTGAGCAATTCAGGGAAGCTTCTTTTATACCCACCGATGGCACCCACCTTTTCCCAGTTAGCCTGTTCACCTGAGGGATGTTCCAAACAGGTGTTTGATGAGCATCCTCAACTTTCTCAGTCTTTTTTGCCACCTGTCCCAGCTTTTTATGGAGAGCGTTGAAGCCATAAAATTCTAGGATAATGACTATTTGCTAATAATAATAACGTTTATCAGTTTAAACATGATATATCTTGTCTTTGTGGTGTACTCAAATCAATATAGGTTGAATATGATTTGCAAATCTTTGTATTCTGTTTTTATTAATATTTAACAAAACGTCCCAACTGCATTGGAACTGGGTTTTGGACTCACATGAAGGCTTTATGTCAATTACTCAAACTGATTATGTCATGCTCAGAGGAGGGATTCTAACAGGAGTTGTACCTGTCTGACGGTTTGCCTCTCATCCACCATCATGGTTTTCGAGCTCTCATCCGACAAATGAACACGAATCACCAACTGTGAAGACACACGTTTTCCATCAATACTGTTATGAAATCATTGTGGGCCTAATCAAATTAAGACAAATAAAGACAAGTTTCTAAAACAATGTTGTGAGAAAGTATTTGCCGATCGACTGTTTTGTTTTTTTTTGCACATATCGATCTTTTTTGAGTTGTTTGAACTCAATCATATGGAAGGAATTTTTCTAGCATAAACTTCCAACCACAGGAGTTGCAACATTTACTGGAGCCAATTTTCAAATCAGGACAAGACTGAACATATGCAGAGAAAAAGGCGCAGAAAGGGGTTATCGCGAATCAGGAAAGCTGAGATCACTCCTGCCAGATACTTACACATTTGATTCAAGCCTAGGTTATACTCCAAATCTGTAAAATGGCGGCTGGACAAATACGGATCACATGCTCAAAAACCATCTATTGTTGAGCCAAACGTGTGAAAATGGTCCCGCTCTAAAGAGATTCATTGGTGCTACCCAAGTGTAGAAATGCAGATGCAAAGACAGCTCAGGATTCCTTGAATCTCTGTCTAACCTGCGTTAAATCGCCGTGTCTGGTGCACAACTTTAGAGGGGTGCGCAGGACCTTTCATCATCACTTACACTTTTAATATTCACACATAAAAAAATGAAATGACGAAATAAGCAAAGCTCTATTATCATTTATTTCATCCGATACCTTATTTAGCTCTATGAGTGGGGCCAAAATGGTATCACAAGCTTGCAATATGATGCAGCTGCACAAGCAGATTGTGTGGCCATGTCACGATGTGACATCCAGTAAATGAGGACGGTGTGCAAACATGACTAATGCATTTCATTGGTGTGAATATAAGTATCCCCACATGCTTTCATTTTTTGCGTTGTTACACCATGGTCGGTTTTGACAAACACATACCAAGAAACAAAACTGCTTGCATGTATGAAATGCATGTAGAATAAAATGTACGTCGTTAAGTCAAACCCTTCCCACGTTTCTTTGATGTCATACATGATTATCAAATGTTTTTCTTTGGTTACATTGTACATCGATAAATGTATTTTAACACTTGTTGAGAATGTTATAATCTTATTTAAAACATAGTCTGTAGAGTTAATAAAAGGTTTTACAATGGCAACAGTTTAGCACTTTCTTTTTCCCCCCCTTAATTCCCATGTTTGCTGATATTTCTGACATGCCTGCAATTGAACACATAGAGGTAGCAGAAGTTCATTTTGTGTTTGTGTGTTTGCCACATGCGTCAGAAATCCAGGCTGTTAATCCAGCATCGCTGTTCCTCTCTCTGTGGGATTGTGATTTCATTCGCAATGATCATTATGCTGAGTGTTGTATAAATGTGTGTGTGTGTGTGTGTGTGTGTCCCCAGCTGTTATTGACAAGCTCTTTTCATTGTGGAGTATCACTGACCTGACCCACATAGCCTGGACGGCTGGACACGTGCCGGAAAAACACACACACACACACACACACACACACACACACACACACACACACACACACACACACACACACACACACACAAAATGTGGCCTAAATGGTACTTGCAGGCCTGAAAAAAGGTTTCTAGTGTAACCACACAGAATAATCAATTGTTTAATAATTAGCTATAATTAGCTAGCTCAAAACTTTGTATTGCAGTGAACCCTAGCAGATATGCAGTTTGGCATTCCCAAATTCAAGTATTTTATTTTTTTGTTGTTTTTAAATGCTAATGGCCAACGCAATTTAAGTATGACTTTTGCGCAATGATGTGGCATCTATGCGCCAAGGAAATATGGTGACATGATTTAAGGTCGTTATTTTGACAAAAGTTGAGCTTTGCCATCATCTCGTTGCCATGGAAGAACGTTTGAGTTGAGCGGTTTCATTTTTGACAAATGTCTTCCATATTTTGTGGATTCTACAAGCAATTTTGAGCACTTAAGAGTCTGTGTCAATTATTCACAGGTTTTCACCATTGGTTGCAAGGGCTTGGTCCCTCCCTCCCACAAATTGTGGCAGAACATTGCAGTGTTTTTAAAGGCAGAATACTGACTGCAGAACTGATTCCATTGTACAGGTGAAACTAATGTTGTGAACAGCAGGTGCAAAGAACAATCTTACCTTTTTCACCTGGGCCTCCTTTATCTTCTCCAGGGCGACTCGGATGTTGTCCGCCTTCAGCTTTGCAGCCTGCTCCTCCTGCACTCATGCACGGGCGCACACACACACACACACACACACACACACACACACACACACACACACACACACACACACACACACACACACAGTCAGTGGCTGTGAATACATGACTTTAGTGCACACAGAAATGCCTACAATTAGCCGAACATACTTTACCTGACTCTTCCAGCAGGAAGTCATTGCTTTTATCAGTTTTTGGTCAACGATTCTGTGTCTGCGTTAGCATCCAATCATCCTGGAGAATTGAAGAACACACTTCCAGAACTCTGTACTCCAGTTTTTCCCAGTGCATTTCAATGTTGTGTCGCGACATATCCACCCACGTCAATTAGCTTCGCCAAACAAACATGAGGCACAAGACACTATAGGCCAGCGAGATGAAAGGCGTGCAAGAGTTGTCATGGCAACCTCATCCTCAATATAATAAAGGCATTATTAGGTACTATGATGAAGAGTACTGGTCGAGGGCTCAAAGATGCGCTGCACACATGCTGATACTAACTGACGATGTCCGAAATTTCGGTCACACGACGCTCTCCTTTACGATAAAAATAACAACGTCACTTTGAATCAAACAAGTTACACGAATAACCTGTCAACTCATAAAGACGTTCCGTATAAAACAGAGGATGACAACACCTGGAAGCCGACAACAAGACACGTCCGGTATGCCAACGGGCAGGTTGGAGGCTAGCTGTCGGCTAATTCAACTGCGCCTCGCGGTTCGAGCAAGCTAACAGAAGCGTGAAAAAGGAGGTCGAACGACGGCTGGATGGAGACGCGGCTCATCAGACGGAAAGCTGGTGGGGAAAAAAAAAAGAAGCGGCGGCAGCTACCTTATCCCGACACGTCTCTCTTCGGAACTGACGAGAGGGGGGCAACGTGAGCGATAAAGAGTGCAGGGGGTGATGCCGGTGGCAGTTGCAAGAGGAGGAGGGGCAACGGTTACTCTTTTATCTTTTCTTTTTTATCAATTCTTGAATAAAAATCCTCGCGTCTACTTAATCCATTATCCAAATCGCGTATCCTCACATTTTTATACTTAAGTGTATTTCTAATGGCGGGAATTTATCGACAAAAGTGGTTGTCAAACTTTTTACACCAAGTACCACGCAAAAAAAAGTACCAACAACATGTCCAAAAATAGTCTATGCGTTCATTAAAAACGAGACAAACGTATAATTCACATGACACATATATACTCTGCAGTCAGTTTTTAATTTTTCATCATTGTTACTTTATATTCTCCCCGCCACCCGACATTTTTTATTCATTTAATTTACATTAGCTGCTTAGTTTTAATATTAGTTGAAGTTTTTTCTTTTTAATATAGAGTGTGTTGAGCGCAAGGTTAAAAAAGGTCACACAGCATTGTCTAAAAGCTGTTAGAGCTATATAAAAAGAGTACTGTAGTTGTTCAAAGTACGATTCACATGAGTAAAATTGTTTACATTTAGCATTGTCAGTTTGCATTATCAGTTGTTAAAATATAGAGAACACTATTCGTCGTACATAACACAAAAGACAATAAGATGGCATTTATTAGATCCCCAAAATAATATAGGATTTAATTTGACAAAAACCTTTCGACAACATCAGCTGTTTTCTGAAAACAATAACTGGGGAGGATGTGTGAAATGCCGATTAAAAATTACTGAATAATGATTATGTGGAAGAGAAAACAATATTTTGAGATGTTAAAAATGGCAGTAACAATATTTTATGCTCGATTAGCTAGCAAGTTTTTACGTTAGCGGAGTGTTTTTTTTCTGTTTGGCTGAAGTACATTATTTTGATTGTAGCCTACTATTATCAAAGAAGCCAAAAATACCAGATAAAGAGGATTGATTTTAATTGAGCAGTTTTCCGCCTATTACTGTCATCATTGGGGGCTTGTCACACACATCTTTTTCACTCTTTGGATATGCACTTGACCTATATTAGTGAGTCACTTAAATTAGATTCCCTTTCGTGCTTTGAAGTCACAAGGTCCAGTGTTCCTTTGAGCCGTGATTTGCATAGATGCATCACAAGTGGGCCAGCATGAATGTGTGCGTTAGAGAGAGAGCAAGAGAGAGAGAGAGAGAGAGAGAGAGAGAGCGCGAGAGAGAGAGAGAGAGAGCGCGAGAGAGAGCGAGAGAGAGTGTGTGAATGGAAGTCACGCTGACGCAGCTATACTGACATAGAAACAGTGCTATATGAGATATAACGTACTTATACAGCAATCTGCAAATGAGGGCAGACAATTATGCGGGTACTTTGAGCCTAATCAGTACAGTTTGGATTAAAAAAAAGTGGATACTTGTGCTCTTTAGTGGACCCTCACTCAAATTTAGGAACAAATCGATCTAAAATTGAAACAAGATTAGAAAAAAATCCAGACTAAAAAAAATACAAGGTAAAAATATGCCTATATGTTGACACTTGCCATACTTTCAGAAATTAAAATTGAAATTCATGAGGTAGGTCCACACTAAAAAAGGAAATGATGCCAGAGATAAAAAATTTAATTTGCAAGAAAAAACATTTTAAATCTAACTCATTATGAGAGCAGTAATATCCCCCCAAAAGTCATTTTATGCAGAGCCTATACTGTTGTTGAAATATTATACCCATGTAAATCATGCTTTGTGAAACGTGTATATACAAATATACAAGCCAACACTGATTCATAAACTTGTCAGAAGAAGAAACACTCAAACCAATTATTTTGGATCAATAAAGCTGACTTTAAAGCCAGTAGCAGCTGCTCTGAGGTATATACTTCTAAAAAGTAACATTAATCTGATGGCATTCACTCAATTTGAAGCCACGAGGATCAGACAGATGTCTGGAACCAGAATAGTGCAGGGTCTTTAAAAAAAAAAAAAAAGGGTTTCATCAATGCTGAGGAAGCACATCGCTAACTTGGAACAGCGAGGCCATAGTGATTACGGGATGGGAAGTAAACCACAAGATTAGAGATAAGGTTGTGGAACTACTGTGGAAGAGGACTTGACAGCCAAAGCTCAAAAGCCAAGAGGAGACGGTTGATGCTGGCCTAATGTAGTGCTATGTGCATGCGCATGTTTTGCTATGATGGTCCTAGCAATCACTCCCCCGGCTGCAAAGAGGATTATTGAGTCTCCATTCACTCGGCCTACACACGCACACACACACACACACACACACACACACACACACACACACACACACACACACACACACACACACACACACACACACAAACGGCTGGAAAAGAAAAACTTTAACCTTCACTATTAAGATGCCTGCAGCTTAGCTAGAGAGCAACTGAGTGTCTAAACCACAGGTGTCTAAGTCAAGGCCCGTGGGCCAGATTTGGCCCGTCACATCATTTTATGTGGCCCGAGAAAGCAAATCATTTTTGTCGAGAGCCACATAATAGTTATGGTTTCCTTTGGAGGCCCGATATGAATTTTGGGAAACCATATAAATGTTTAATCACCTCCACATATTACATACACAGCGCACAACAAATTGATGGATAACTAGTTTTAAAATCAGAAGCCAAGAATAATGACTGTTATTGTGGATTACATATGACAATTTGAAATTTGGGTTCAGACTTCAGCAAGCATCATGGAACTTGACATCCTTGATTTGCTTTCGCGGGTCACATAAAATGATGTGGCGGGCCAGATCTGGCCCCGGGGCCTTGACTTTGACACCTGTGGTCCAAACAAAGCCAGAGACACGTATCGATAGAGAATAAAAACTGTGACAGCAATACAACAGGACAGCCAGTGGGAGCAAGCCAGTTCCCCCAGAGCAGAACATCAATCTCGATCTGCTTGAAACAAGAACAATTAATGGGCAGCTTGTTCTCACGAACTGCATTGATCTGTGTTAGCAAGCACACCGTTCATCTAATGAGCTCCGTGACTACAACTGGCCGACTCCCAAATCAAAATTACTGCTACACAATTCACTCAGTCCGATGGATAAATACACAAATTTTTTTCCCCAAACATGACAACTACCTCCTCTTACATAATGACTTTTTCTATTGTACTGTTATAACTGCATTCTTGTAACCTGACGTTTTTCACTCCTTACTGTATGGCTTCCAACAGTGACTGCAATATCTTATTACTTCATTCTTGTAAGGTTATGACATGGAAACAATATTCTGTAACATCAAAACTTTTGTGAGACCCCCAGTTTGATGCTTCAGCTCAATGGGCTATCTTTAAGGAAGCTTGTTTTAATTTTTCAATCAAACAGGAAATTATCGTGAAGTACAAAAGATCTCTGTCCGGGTTGCTCTGTACAATGTGGCTCAAGTCAACAATAGGTCAGCAACAGAAACTGAACGTACAGTATAACGCAGAGTGAGCTGTGTTTACACTTTTGGATGAATGTAGGCCTTTCCTATTTGTTTAAATGCATTGTCATGATCCCACCAGATCCTCAAGCATTCTGTTCTGTTTAAATTCAACCCACACCCAAAGGCTGAATGTTTTTCAAAGTTCCTAAGGTGTCGTTCTCATTGTAAGTTTAAAATCTTGAGGTTATTTTGGTTTTATCCAAACCGTCTCGGAATAGGATATCACGAGGACTTGAAGGCAATAGCAGACACAGAATCGGTGACGTTCACTTACCTGGCCTCGTCTCCAAGAAAACGTTAAAAATTTAACAACACAAACATTCTCACAAATATTTTACTCCATTTAAGGCTTCCTTAAAGCACAATCACACAAGAACGTGAGATGGCTCTGCACAGGTGTTGTTATTTGGTGCTGTTAACTCGAGGTCACGGAAAACCATGCTGTGAGCGGTTTGGGTGATGCTATCTGAATGGAGAGCTTAATGAGATAGCAATATAATGTTGCATTTCAGTCCATGATCTCAGCTAAGAATTCTGGCAGAAAGGTTTAATATAGTGGAAGGTCTAAAGTTGAACGCTCAACATTTTTTGGTGCTTCTGTAATGTTTTTATAGTTGTGCAAAAGGTTGACCCACTGTTGTATGTAGCGACACATAAAACTTAAATAAGAGCATATTATCTTGTTGATATCTATTGGGGATTGACCTTTAGCATGTATTGTCGCATTTACGCTTGATCGCGTTGATACAATTTGTGTGATTGCACTTCAGCAAGTCTCATCTTCGGAATGCACACAAACCAAATTCCTTTTGAAATCATAGAGGAGAGGAACGGAAAGTGGCAAAGACTGGAAGAACTGCATGCAAAAGAAAATAATCTAAAGGACAGGCCAGAATAGACAAGACAAGGAGAGGGTGAGCGTGCAGTGAGGGATGGAAGGTGGGGGAGGGTCACCTTGGTCAGCAGGTGTGAAGGTTTCCCTGCTATGTTTCTCAGAATCAGAGAGGTTTCCCTGTCCAGATAGGAGTGCTTGAAGGAGAGAGAGAGACACAGAAATACAAGACAGAATCCTGGTAAATGAATGTGGCGTCTGGCTTTAGCAGGAAGCTGTGCGGTGAAGCGGCAGATGACGGCAAAAGCAAGGAAACCTGTGGGGGGGAAAGAATACTACACAGACACACTATATGTAACAACAATCATCATAATGACAAGCTGCAGTAAACCACACAAATATTTGATGTTTTAAACCTCCAAGATGGAAAAGGCAAATGGGGGCGACTGAAAATACTTTACTTGGTAGGTACGTCTATCCTCAAAGTAGAGCATGGACTCGAGGCAGAAAACTCCACTCGCCCAGCGTGTAAGTTAATAGAGTGGCATTCAAATTGATTTGCATCTTGCGTTATGTCTGAAAGAACCCACTTGATTGATGAACCCGCTTGCCACCACATGATGCGGGCGCACTCCCCACATAGCTCTCAAGGGACGGTACACACAACAGTATGACAAGATTTCATTCTGATCAGAGTGCAAATGTTTGGATTCGATACTCGCTTTTCCACACCCCCTCGAATCGAGTAACCTCAAACAGATAAATCAAGCCTAATAGATGCAACTCACTGTCAACATCGGGTGTGACGTCCACTTAATGACCACAATTGCCTAAACCCTTAATTCAGAAATATTACTGAATATATAAGTATATTATTATTATTATTATTTTTATTGTGATATGAAGAAAAAGCAAGGGAGATTCTGGAAAAAAAAATCTAAAAAAAATGTACTTGCATCGCTGATGATTTTTTGTTGTTGTTGTTGACCAGTGTCAACAATGAATCGTTTAGATACCATTTAAAATATTAAAAAATGTAATTTCATCTTCTCAAAGGTAAACAGTCTGATTTCTGTCTCCATGAAAGCGGAAGGATTATCTTTGTGTTGAATCAAAATAAAACAAGAAAACAATGTTTGCATATTTTCTGACATGTTATGTAACAAAGCAGCAATTGCATCTGACTTTATTTTCGTGCATTTTCTGCACTGGAAATTTGAAATGCCATGTTTTTTAATACAGGAATGGAAATCAAAACATGACCAGATGCATTGATGATCGACAGATCAAATGATTTTTAAACTAATCATTAGTTGCAGCCCCACTTAAGGGGCTCTGCAACAGAAAATAATATATTATTGAAAGTGTATACACAAAGGTATAGCATACATACAAATACACATTTTTCTGCTCTGCCTCATCTTTCTAAATCTTGTATGCTTCATCTCTAGAAATCATTTTATCGAGAGCATTAACATACTCTTCTAATATTTAGGTCATACGCATGCACACACGATTAGCCGCGCGTGCGTGTGTGAATACGCGTGTGTGCACATGTTCAGTGCCCCAGGGCTCCTCTACATACAGGGTTTAAACTTTACATCTCAATAAGACCATCATGGACCATGAGCATCAGAAAGATGTTTTTGTATACTAATGATGATGATGATGAATAATTTTATGTTTGTCTGTGATCTACAGAGTAACAACAATATCCCATTGACCAGCCGGATGATTATCGACTGAGGCTGTCTCATTAAAATATGAATTTTAATGCAGACTGATTTCAATCCTTAAAAACACGCACTTCTTGAATATTGGGTCTTAGTGTGTATGATTATCGCCGATATGTCAAATATAATCTCTTTAAAAATGAAAGCACGCTCAGTTTAATCCTGCGCAGACAACAGGTGCCTATAGCAGACTACTACTGGAGCCCAGTGAGCTAAAATAACAGAGGTAGAATGTTGGCATGGGTCGAGGCTAGTCGGTAAGCGGACGATTTACCTCCGTGCTGTGCTGACTCTGGCCGGTGTCATTGGCTGGGTGTGGGGCTGAAGCAGGATGGCCGTCACAGTTGCTGGCATGAAGAACGTTGTCCAGGGAATCCATCGAGGAGGCAGAGTTGACAGACGTTCCTGAGGCTGACGTGACGGAGGAGCGTGAAGAGTGGATGACAGATCGCACCTACAAGGGATTTACTCGACATCATGACTCGGAAATGACATGAATTGTGTTGATCGTGTGGGATCAATTCAGGCAAAATTGAGTCATTACTTTGCTACAACCAACAGAGACACTGTTAATTCACGGAATTACTTTGCTGTTGCCGAAGTAACTCTGAATACCGATTATCTAAAGAAAAAAAAAAAGGTCACTAAGTATTGTGTCATAAAGAACATTAAACTACAATCCCCAAATGACTGTTCAACAGAAATACCGAAACTAATACATTTAAAATTAACCTCGAAAGCTCACGTATGATATTGACAAAAAAAAAAAGATCTAAGGATAATTTTGCTACATTTATGATTATAAACATAAAATGTTGTTCGTTAGTCTTTTGAAGCATGATTGTTTTTATTTTATTTATGAAAATATTTATTCAATTTTACTTTCCAGGGAGACATTCCTCTACATCGGCGATCGTCGTGACAACCTCGCCCCCTGTACCCTGCCCGCTGACGTAGTTGGTGCCAGTGTCTGGCCCAATAAATAACTGGGGCCTGATTAAGCACCAGATTCAAGCACCAGGGCTAGAACGACAGCCGATTTTGGTGGTCAAAAAGGAAAGAACTGGTGCTAACCTGGGCACTGGCCCAGAACCAGCACTAGTACAAGCATGCTGGAAAAGGGCCAAAATTTAGTTGCAGAGGTTACAGATCACAGTAGTGGTAGAAAAAGTTTGAAATGATCCGTCTTGTTCTGTCATTGTTCAGACTTGGCATTTGACAGGGGCGTGAAGACTTTTTAAATTTTTTTTAATCCATCATATAATTGAGGAACGGAACTCTCAAAGAATAATTAAAATAATTAAGCCTCTCATAACTTTACCAAAAAGTAAAGAGACATGAAAAGGTGTCACGTCACATTATTTTATTATTAGGCTTTAAAGAATCAGACATTTGAAAGCCACAACATTGACATTTAATCCAATGGTATATCAAAATGGTGATGACAAAGCAACAGACGAGATAATATGATCATGACATATATATTTTTTATACATTACAAAAATAAAAGGAATCATTCGCAATCAAAGTCAAGTTTACCTCATGCTCACTGACGGTGCCGACCGATCCCGTGCGCCGATGCTGCCGTTGACTGGATGCTGGGCGCCGTACCGAGGCCGAGGTGGAGGTTGAGCCAAGTGAGTGGGAGGAGCTTTGACGTGCGGCTTCGTCCATGCTCATTGATGCCTAATGGGAAGGCAGAGATGGTAAATAATCTTGATATTTCACCAGAAGCATCTCAGTGAGCATGACTGACCGTGACGTACTGGATGGTAATTAGTTTTATAATCAAATGGACAAATAAACGAATCTGCTTCATGATTTTGGCCTTGGTCTTGCGACCGACATCAAGGATAAATGTTCTCAACCTTCTGAGAGGTAGCCATCTTTAAATCCCTGTCCAAGTACTGCCTTCAAACAAATGCAGTCATGGAAAGCATCTCGGAGAGTAATGGAATTATTCCTGGCAAGAAAGAGTCAAACTTTTCAGCATAAATTCACAGAATGCAGTGTACAAGATCCTCTGATGTCTCACTTAAACTAAACATTATCCACCTAGTGATCATGAACCTCTAATTGTTTTCTTTTTTTTTATGGCACATTTACATTGCCATCCAATATACAGTATAGAGCAGCGTTTTTCAAACTTTTTTGAGCCAAGGCACACTTCTTTCATTGAAAACATCTCGCGGGACACCACTAGCTGAAAATGTAAACACCCCCCCCCCCCACCACACTTATTTTAACAATTAACGTGTTATATTGTTACTATAACCGTTTTTAACATTGAAGAATGACGTTATAACAGCTTGAATTGGAATCAAATGAACACAAAGAAAACAGTATTTTATCATCTTTCATATTTATTGTTTCACCGTCGTCCTGCATTCATGCGTCACAAATTCGCTTGTCTCTCGTCGAAACACAAAGCAATTGGCTAGCTGTTGCTGCTCCCTAGCGGTATGGGAGGGTACTACATGATTACTTTCTGGGTGAAAGACCGCACAGGCATACAAATTGGTTATTTTCCCGCGGCACACCTGACAATGTCTCGCGCACACCAGTGTGCCACGGCACACGGGTTGAAAAACACTGGTATAGAGTGTATATATAGTATTTAACTACATTAAAGTGTATTTGGTATTTCAGGCTGCATGGATGATGTGATCCTTTCATTCAATTGGAATTCTTTTAGAAATAGAGACTGTGATGATAACAGTAAATAGATGAAAGTAATATGGCACACCACACAAAAGTTTAAAAAAAGGGGATACACAGGTAAATTATGTACCTTCTGCCATTTAATAAAATAGCATTTATTTGTTCTGCCTGCCACATTACATCTCTGGCATAGATTTTGAACATAGACACATTATTTGCAGTAAATAAATAGTTTTTTTTCTGACCAACGAAGTAAAATTTAATCCTGAGGCAAACCTTCTGAACTCTCACATCACACTTCATGTGTCATAGCACACTTGTTGGGAATCCCTGAGTCCCAATCATTATTTTACTTCCTTAGGGGAATTACCACATTAAAACGGAAAGAGAATTACTTGGAAAGGCACTTTCAAAAATAACCCTGGTTAATGAGCTACATGTTGCTTCAATAGCTCTTGCACTTGCTCTTATGCTTATTGGGGTTGCGTTTAGTGGGGTCCGCTTAACAATTCTTTTGAGAACTCTTCACACCGATATTAACGACATACCTTCTCGAGCTGGGCAGTGATATCATCCAGGCTAAAGTTTGACGCCAGCGCCTGCCTCCCTTGCTGCCCAGGACAAACCCTGATGGTGCCGGCAGGTGAGGCCCTGGTGCTGCTGCTGCTACTGCTCGCCCCGCTGCTCCCGCCACCACTGACACTGTTGCCTCCTCCACCATCGCCGCTCCCCCCCGCTGATTGCTGCCTGCTACTGCGCCCTGCTGGGGGCTTCTGACGAACCTTGACAAAAAAGTGTTGAAAATGATAGAAGATGAAAAATATTGCCTTTGTGAGGATACTGTATTTTCTTCACAAATTGTGACCGGAGTTTTATTGACTTAATTACAAAAATGGGGAGGCATCTATTTCATTGAAGGATTTATTTATTGAAAGTGACATTTTGGAATGCTGCATAGTTATTTGCAGTAGCAGTTGAAGGTTTTACAATGACAACTTCGCTTATTTGCGTTCCAGCATACTTTTGTTACACGAAATTATGGTTTTTGTTTAGATACCGGTACATGTTGAATTCTCTTTAACGGTATGTGTCATTTTTACAGCAATCTTCAACTGTGAGACTAACTGCTTGAAGCAAGCACACTACGCCTCTTATTTGGAGAACTGCATGACTGAGCAAGAGAGTGACAACAGGCGCTAAGGCATAGTCTAAAGACAGTAAGTTAATACATTGGAGTATATTTTAAAACATTTAAATGGGTTTAAAGCATGAAGGAGAGGTTAAACTGTAAAAATTTGAATGGTCTCACGTTTGATGACAATTTATGTCAAGTAGAGCCAGGCTAACAGCTGTTGTCTGAATAATTGCTTTAATTCCACTTGAAACACGAAGCATAAAGTGGACATTTGTGGTGTTATTAGTATTTCGGCCATGCAGACGCTTCATTTATTACGTGCGGCAATGACGTGAGGTCATATTTAGTTGACCTCTCCATGAAATAAAGAGATTGAAAAGCCTCGCCTCATATCCCCAAATTAGACGCACCTCCTCCTGCCTTGCTACTCTGCCGATATGAGATGATAAAATGAGCCCCTACACGCAGGACCATATTTACTTGTGTAAACACTGAGGTACGTGATGTCTTTTTTTGGGCCACTCAACGTGTGTGCATGCATGTCACATCAGGGACACGTTGCGTTCACATTTGAAGGTGCATTTGTTTTTGTAAAGTGAATGAGTATATAAAAAGATCTGATTTTATCACGCCCTGCAGTGTGAACGTAGCCACAGGCTCAGCGGTTAACTCTTATGCCTCTGTGAGTGAGCAGGCAAAGCATTGGAAACATCTTCAGGCATGATGCAGCGTCACAACAGTAGGTGTACCTTGGTATCGGTGAGTCCTAAACGTGCCATGCTGCTGTTTTGTTTGGGGTTGACGGTACTGAGCTCCTGTTCAATAGAGCTGAGGTCTGCCATGAGGGCGTCCAGATCAACATTTTCCCCCTGATTCAATGCCTCTGCAGCCAGACAGAACAGCATCTGGGTTAGACATCTCAAAACGGACTGAAATGAGCATCTTCACTAATGTGTGGTATTCTGACCATTGATGTTGTAGATGGAGAATCTGTAGGAGAAATTGGCCATGTTGGTCTCCTGTCTAAGAGGCGCCTTACGCTGAGGGGGGCGCTCCGGGCGGCCATCATCCAAGCTCTGGATGGTAAAAAAAAAAAAAAAAAAAAAAACAGGAAAAGTGTTTCACACACAGCTCAAGTGAATTACAAGAGGCCTGTTTAGTTCAGCAGGTGTACCTGCGTGAGTTTGTCCAGTTCTCCCAGCCAAGCTCCAAACATCTTATCCAGATCCTGATCCTCTTTATCGCTGTCCTCCTCTTCCTCCCCTTCTCTGACCTCCACCTCTTCGTCGGACAGCTGGTCCATCTGAGGAAAAGAAAAGAGAAACGTGTCACCTGTGAACTTGACAAGTGGACAATGACCATCTTGGGTTAGAATAGTTTAAACAAGATCAACTTGACTCAAAGGAAATAAAAATATAACAATCATATTACTCTCTGTGATAGGTGATTTAAACAAGATTTTGAAATGATTTTAAATCTGCACTGCCCCCCATGTGAAATCTGGACCAGATCTTGATTAAACTTTGTTTGGCATTAGCTACTTTTCAGACTACAGCACCTAACATTTCATTAACATTTGTTTTTGTTCATTCATATTAAGTTTTTTTAAAAGATTGTTTTAGATGAAAAAAAAATGACAAAAACAAATATGAATATACAATTAAACAATTCAAATTAAAAGCAAAATCGAATATAAAAACAAAACAAATACAATTGTACTATGTAAGAAAGCAAATAACCATATTAATATAAATACAACTACAAATTAGGGCACAAGAGAATAATTTTATATCAGTCGACAATGCCACATATTGAAGATGATTTTCCCCCTTCAAAATCAATACTAATAATTTACATTATAAAATTAAATAATACACAAGGACCGAGAGAAAAGGCTGAATTTAGGTAATTTTATTTTAAAATGTAATATTTTACCTTAATATTTATTTTTATATTATATTTATTTATACACATTTTGTCTTCTACTTTCTCCCTTTCATAACTGTAAATTGGGAATTTTTCCATTGTGAGACAAATAAAGGTTTTCTTATCTTATCTGAATTAAGAGGTCTACACAAACACATAAAAAAACATTTCCTTTTTAATTAATACAATGCTTATTAGTAGGGCTGGTGAATCACGACGTATGGACAAGTCTTCCATTCATTTTACGCATGCCACACACGCTCAAAGGCTTCGTGAACACGAGGAAAAAGCACAAAAGCACAAGGCCGAGTGAGAGCTGACGGCGCCATCCAGTGGCTAGAAGCATGTAGTATTAACACTGTGTTCCCACGTTCTCGAGTCTATCTTCGTAGTAGCTTAATTAATGGATATATAAACGATTAAAATGAGCAAACTGGCAGAAACTCAAGTCAATGTCGAGGATTAAGTCTGAACAGTAATTTGAGCCTTGCTATATTTAATCTGCCTTTTACATGATCTCTCTCTAAATGGTTCCACTCTTGTCTCCACCTGATCTCCACCCAGGCAGGCATTGACCCCAGCACAAAGAGCTATTTCTGGGCTACTGCTTTGTCCTCGCCCCTCTCTGCAGGGGGACGCATGGAGCCAACACACACATGAGATTAGAGAGCAGGATCGCGCTGAGCCACAAACAAATACATGGAAGAACACGCACACGCGGGCGAGGAGTTGCGGCGCTACAATTAGATCCTTGTGGATTGGCTGCTCTGTCATTTTAGAGGTCTGAGCACAGGGCCGCTCTGTGCGAGCTGATGCGAGGACAGGAACTCCCCCAGCTGCAGTCTTGTGCGACAATTTACTTGTTTGCACAACGCAGCCCATTCAAGGCAAATGAAAAGCTGACGCCCATCCAAATGCAAATACGATCACAACATCTCACCTGGCTTCTTGTTTGAGTCAACATGAAACAGCAATAAATAAATTAAATAAATAAATAAAAAACGATGGTAACGTAAGCGTGTAATTTAAGAAAGATTTGAAGGCAAGTACCAGAGGACGTTACACATGCACGCAAAAAAGAAAAGCATGTACCGGTAGATTGAGAATTCACATGTAATTTCCATTAAAATGTTGAAATGTGCACTACCACCCAAAAAGTATGAATAATTTAGTAACAGTAAGATCATCTCGATGTACTCACACATCGATTTACTCGGTGTGAAATGTGGGTCTGACTGAACACAAGGCTGATGATTTAGCCATAATTCCATGAATTACTTTGTTGTATGATGAGCAGGAGGTGGATGCACTGATTTATTGTACCTTTTGCCATCTAAAGTATGAGCATTTTATTGTTTTGTCACTAGACCTCGCTGACAAAGACAGAAATTGTGGGAGAATGGATAATAATGATCACCCAGGTCAACAAAATCACCGAAATAGCAACCAAGTAAGAAAAGCCCCATTTTGCTAATTGATGACTTAAACTTGTAATGTTAAACTGTTCTCTTCATGTGGTCTCTCTCTCTCTCTCTCATTTTAGCATAGAGTTCGAGAGGAAAAAAATGTTGAAGAGTCTTCTTTGCTGCAGTGCAGATTCCAATTTAAGAGTTGCAATAAGTCACTATAGCACGTTTCATCATAGCTGCATGCAAGCCGGTTCAGTCAGGGGCTAACTCCTGGTTTGGGTCTTAAATCAACTTGAATTTCAATGTATATAGAGCAGAACAAATCAAACCTGGAGTAAAACAAACACAGGAACGTCGGATGAGCCGCACATTCTTGACTGCCGAGCGGGCCAAAAACACAACTACATTTTCTGTCAAACATAGCTGAGACAGCAAGTTGTCCGAAAGACCTATACGTGTGTGTGCTTGCGTAAAGTAAACAGCAATTACTTTGCTACAGAAGCCACACTCCTCCTGTCTGACAAACTGAAACCATGCAATCATCCTCCCACCCTTCATTCCACAATCCCCTTTTTCTTCAGTATGCAGCACAGCAACATATTTCATATTCCACTCATCTTGTTCTATTGGGTTTTTTTTTTAATTATTCTGTAATCACACCATTTTGCTTCTCAAAATGGTGATGGGTTGCAGATATTTGCCTTATACACACACTGCACAAATGCAACGCCCACGACTATTCAACTTTCATCCTGCCAATTTGTATATATAATTTGCTCCGGTGTAAAATATATTGCAACAAAATACATCGGTGCAGCGCCGGAGCAAATGTGTGTCGTGTGAACACCCCTTATGACATCACAAGATTGAGCCATGCCTACGAAAGTGAAACAACCTCTCGCCAGACAAATGGAAACTTGGAAAAAGAATGATCAAAAACAGCAGATTATCCTAAATGTGCCCACATTAAGTTGTTTCATTCCAGTCCTGCAGGTGGTGGCAGAGCACATTTCAAAGTGGGTGCCCATAAACTGCCAAAAACAGCAAACTCAATCGGCTTCTACGGGATCTGGTCGAGAACTGCGACACATGGCCCCAATGCAAGAGGGCTGTAATGGCCAAAAGTGAAGATCTGCACCACATTCAACCCATGTAAAAGCTTTTGTGGCAATAGGCTATGTAATTATTTTTTGCATAATACTGTTTACCGTCAAAACATAACCATAGTTTATGAAACTGTGACTGACGCAACATAAGCCGCTTTTCCATTCCAGGTTCCAGGACGGCCTGGCGCCTTATGCAAAGACATAAAAAAAAAAAAAAAACTGCATATATAGTCAGATATAGTTATGAATGAAATAGTGAGCTTGTGGTAAAAAATTTCCACAGCCGCGCGCATGCTGCTGGGTCCATTCACTTTGAATTGAGACCTCGTTCTCATTCACTTGACCAGCGCTCAGAGTGGCTGGCATTGGTGGCTCGTTGTCATCATCATCCGGCATCTGAAGCCCCAAGCCGCTACCTACGAGGTGGGGGCCACGACAGTCGGTCTGGAGGAATGCTGAGGCGCCGGGCTGTGGTTGGAGGACCTTTTCATCACTGTCAAGACCACAGGAAGACCTGGAGACCTCTCATTCAAGTCCATGGACCCGGCCAGTGGTTTGCACCGCTCACCCCAACTTGTTCCTCTGCATGAATGCCTTAGTAGAATAGGAGCAGAGTTTAGAGTTGTTGTCTTGATGAAGTATCCAGCCCTGGCGCAACTTCAACTTTGTCACTGATTCTTGAACATTGTTGGCAAGGATCTGCTGATACTGACTGGAATCCATGCGACCTTCAACTTGAACAAGATTGCCAGTACTGGCCACACAGCATGATGGAAAACCACCAAATTTTACTGTGGGTAGCAAATGTTTGTCTTGGAATTATGTGTTTGTCTTCCGCCATGCATACCTCCTTATATCCAAATAACTCCATTTCAGTTTCATCAGTCCACGGCACCTTATTCCAAAATGAAGCTGGCTTGTCCACATGTGCTTTAGCATAACTCAAGCGACAGTTTGTGCCATGTGCACCGAAAAAGGCTTCTGCCGCATTACTCTTTCATACAGCATCTCCCTGTGCAAAGTGCGCTGAATATTTGAGCAAAGCACAGCGACACCATCTGCAACAAGATCGTGTTGTAGGTCTTTGGAGCTGGTCTGTCGATGGAGTTGGACTGTTCTCACCATCCTGCGCCTCTGCTTATCTGAGATTTAGCTTGGCCTGCCACTCCAGGCCTTAACTGGAACTGTGCGTGTGTTCTTCTATTTCCTCACTATGCTCCTCACAGTTGAAAATGACAGTTGAAATATCTGAAATCGCTTTTGGTAGCCTTCCCCTAAACCATATTGTGAACAATCTCTTTTCAGGTTGTTTGACAGTTGGTTTCAGTCTCCAGTGTTGCCACTCTTCAGAGGTGATGCAAAGAGTGGAATCACTTGCAACTAGCCATTTTAAATACACTTTAATAATTGGTTTCACCTGTGTATGTAGATCAAGGGTCAATGGACTTACCAAACACATTTTGTGTTCCAATAATTAGCGCTAAAGGTATTCAAATCAATAAAACGAGCATGCCCAAATTTATGCACCTTGTTTAATTATTGCACACTTTCTGTAAATCCTATAAACTTAATTTCTCTTCTCACTATCACAAGATTGCTTCATCAGAGCCATAACAGTAGATCCTGCTTTGATCCACTTTCACATAGCTGAGTGCGATACTGATGCAATTCTCTGACTGTTCACACAGCATCCTGCAATCTCATAATTAGTCAAGTATGTCAGTACAGTGGAATCTCTGTATTCACGGGAGACTGCGAGTGGGCCGGCCTGAGAACAGTGAAAATCCATGTAAAATCAATGCTCAATGAAATGCAAACACTTCCTTTTTTTAATACCCCAAATTCTTCAAAAAACGCTGATGA